CTGCTGTGTAATCAGATCAGTGCATGTGAAAGCCAGAAAATCAGAATGCACATGAATTCACATAACTTAATACTATTTAAGTTAAATATCTTAGAGCTTGGACTCTGGGTACAGAAACAAGCTCAGCAAAGTCATTGCTGAACACTTGATCTGAACAAGCTCTGAATACTTGAAAAAGTGGTTTGAGCAGGTGACATTCTTGCCTTCATCCAAAAAGGGACTTGCTGTTTATAGTCCAGAGCTGATCCACTCAATGGCTTGGTTTGCTTGGATACTCTGATAACAATAACAGAGCACAAACCTCATCAGTGACTCTCTTGCCAGGCCTGGCTCTTCTTCCTGTAAGACCTTTATCACATACTCCAGGTCCATGCTTGCTTGGGACTGGGCTTCTACCTGTTGTGCTAACAGTGGTGAGCTACTTTTGCAGGTTCATACAATTCTTTTGTTTGAATGTAAACCAGTGAGAAGGTTTATTCAGAAATGAGAAGTAGTGAAGTAACTTCCTTTACTCGGTGTTCTACCTTTCCCATTTTGCAAACCTAGACAAGATAGCATGAAGAGCTAGTTCATCTGAAGGCATAGCCTGAGCCTGGTTTTGGTCACATGAAGGGAAAAGATCAGTCAATGTTGTTTCCATCTGCGTTGTCTCCATCTGCTGTCTGGATATGCTGACTCTGGGTGTGATATCAAATGAGTTGATTGCAGAGGAGCATGAAGAAAAAGATTATCCAAATTCAACACTAAGGGTTTCTTCTTCAGTTGTACTTTTTACTTTGTTTAGCTCCTGCTGAAGATCTTGGTGAAGGTCTTCACAACAGCAACTTCTTTTACAATAGTGACATTACCACTGAGCTGGCTGATCCTCTATGGACACACAAGTCATGAAGGTTCTGAAACTGAACTCTTTGGTTGTTGTTCCTCTTCTCTCCAGGTTTCTGAGTCCCCTGAACATGCTCATTGGTGGCACTGTGGTGGTGCTGGTTTTCCTGGGCTTTGTGTGGATGTCGCACAACAAGGATGTACTCCGCAAGCTGAAGAAGCAGTACCCAACCACTTTTGTCCTGGCCATCATGCTGTCTAGCTACTTCTTGATCTCCTACCTGGGAGATGTCATGGTGTTCATGTTTGGGATCACGCTTCCTCTCCTCTGTAAGTATTTGTTCTCTTCTCTGGGGGGCTAGAGGTGTGTGACTTGAGCTTTCTCAACCAAGTCTGCAGAGTCTAAGTCAGCTGTTAACTTTGCTATCTGTGTTTAAGTGGTCCCGAAGCAGAACTGGGGGAGGGGACACAAAAGCAGCACAAGCCATCTTTAATGTTATTATTAAATGGGTACCTGTGGTTACTTGAGCAGTCATTGATACATCATCATCTTCTAGTGATGTCACGGTGCTGGGATGTGCTGCAATAACTATGCATTCCTTGGGCATGAACAATTAATGAGTGTGTTTTTGTCGTGCAGTGATGTTTGTCCATGCTTCCCTGAGGCTCAGGAACATACAGAACAAGCTGCAGAACAAGATGGAGGGGATAGGCTTGAAGAAGACCCCCATGGGCTTCATACTGGATGCTCTAGAACAGCAAGAGGATAGTATCAACAAACTGGCTGACTACATATCTAAAGTGAAGGAGTAAGCAGCTGCAATGTGGCATTTCTGCCTGTTGCAGGAGTGTAGTTGCTATTTACTGTTGTTCAAGCTTGCTTTCAGTTTATGTACAAAACAGGAAATGCATGTGGTACAGGTTAATAGTTGCAGGATACAGGTATTCCAAGGTCTTCAGGGCTCCTCTAAGAACATACAAACAGCAACTTTTTTTCTATTGTATAGCAAAATGTTCTGGTGTTTACACAAATACATACTAACTTAACCATGTTTGCTTGTCTCTTCTTCTGGGGTAGAGGAGAAAGAGGTAGAAACCTATGGAATGCAGTCTCTCAAACTGTCTTGTAGCAAATTGGTCCATTAAAGCAACATCCCTTTCATCTCAGTTCTGAAATACTGCAGTTTAGCCAGGTTGTGCTGAGTAGCACGTGTGGGCCTGGTGGTGCTCAGATGAGCTGGAATGTATCACAAGCAGGTATCTCTTGCATCCTCCAATCCCTCCCTTGAGTGCTCTGTATTACAGAGGCCACATTACCAGCTTAACTGGCACGTGGTAAAACTCTGCAGTGCTTGTACCCAGTGTGGGTTCCTGTCCTCACCTCACAGCCCTGAAACAGTCTAAATAGCTGTAAGCATGAAGAATATACATGGCACTGGCTGCCAGTCCCAGTAACATTTACCTTCAGGCTCTCCAAAGTAATCATCCATAGAACTGCTCCCCTCTGTAGGAGAGCCAAACTTCCTTATGTACCAGCTAAACTCTGGCCAAGCATGGGAGAAAAAGAGATAGGCTGGACGAGCTGATAGGTTGGATGAGTTTCTACCCCATTGATGTTTTTAAATACTGCTACTTTAGGACTTACCTGCTTTAGTCTGCACAGGCTGTTTGTAGATGGAGGTGTATGTGTGTTCTTGAGCGTGGGTCATCTTTTTCTTTCTTCTCACCCAGAATGCAAAGATACAGGTCAAACATGCATCTGTTGACTCTGTACTTCCAACACTCCTCAAAGGAATAAACTGAATTTCAGGTTTACAAGTAAAAGCAATAAATGTCAAGATACAATTTTTGAAAACCCATTCCAAATTCATGAAGATATTTGCCTGTTAAAACTCCTGATGTTGAAAGCAGTGTGGGGGATTCTTTTATATATACACAATTTAACTGCCAGCTCTGATGGAATCATCTTGTTAACAGGAGCTTACCAACAACAGGGGGGGAAAGTTGTCCAGGTGAGACTCCATTTCAAATATTCTTTCATTTCTCTTTTCTAACCAAGTAATTAATTTAACAAAAAAGCAAGGATCCTTGAAGTTGAAGCTTTTATGTAACTTGCCATGCTGTTTTCATAGTGAACTGTGTAGAACTCTGAACATGTCATTCCATTTAAGTGTTAAGGTGATCAGTATTTATCAAAAATGTCTGTATATTCCAGCTGAAGAGTCAATGGCCTGTTCCTCACTTGTAGCGCATGGTCTTTGTTTTTCAAGAACTGTTTCCACACCTAAACAACATAGTAGCCTATGACTTCATCATTACAGTAGCATTTTAAAAACTGCACAGTTATGAAGAAAAATAAATTCTAATGGTTGGAAACTCGAGCTTGTGCCTGTGTCTGTGGTTGGGGTGGTGGGAGATCTGCTGTCACCCTGTGGCTCGTGCCACAAGCCTGTGCTGGGGATTGAGCTGCTGGCTCTGACTGCTCTGTGTCAGCTTTGTTGAGGCCCAAGGGATCTCTGAGCCAAAATGTTCCAGCCTTGCTTTTGCATCCTTAAACAGCTGCTCTACAGAGGTGGAATACTTATGATATTTCTTCATGCAGCCTTGGTCACTTATATAACTCAACTCTGCTTAACTGGGATTTCAAATTCTTGTTAATTACCTGAGAGGGATTTCTGCTTCCAGGATTACTGAGAGCTGTGCCTTGAGCAGTACTAGCACCAGCTCTGCTGCAGTCCAACTAATGGTGTGATCTCTGTGTGCCTCCCTCCTCCTGTGATCACTGAGAGGCTGCTCGGTGGGAGAACGTGGATCAGAGCAGAATTTCACAGGTCATGCTCTATCCACTCTGGAAATTCACGTTTGGCAGCTTCTGAGTGTAGCAGTAATTGGTGCCTGGCAACTTGAATTGGAGATTGTAGAGCACTATGTTATATATTCCTTTGTGCTTCCCTGGCCCAACTGCTGCAGTCTGAGCTGCACCAGCCTGGTCTTGAAGCCAGTCTGGAGAGCAGCATGCTCCAGGAGCTTTCCTTGGTGCATTTGTCACTTACTGCTGTGCTCTGTGCAAGGGCTTGGTTGGAAGTACTGTTTCTTCCATTCCTGCTCCTCTCCTTTACAAAAAGAGAGGGCTGCAATGAAAATTATTTTCTTTTTTTATGTCACTTCCTTGTTACATGATGCTTCAAAGTTACTTGCTCTCTCTTGGGCAATACAGAAACCAGCTTTCCCAGGTTTGGGGCAATACATTTGCAAACAGAAGCAGAGCTGAGAAAGAGCTTTTACAAGTTTGGAAGGTGGAGATTGGAAAGAGACCAGGTGATAGGTACCAAAAGGACAAGAACAAATGAAAATTTAAACAAGTGACAATAGAGGTTACCTTGGATTCAAGAGGTCTTGAACATTGCTGATACTACAGGACTGTTAAAATAAACACGGGAAGATGGGACTGGGATTTAGCTGCCAGGGGAAGGTTGCTAAGAGTTACCACTCAGAGATTAACTCACCTGAAGGAAATCCTTCCAGGAGCTGCAAAGCTGTGCCTTTGGATCAAGCAGCCACAGGAAGGTGCATTTTAACACAGGGAAAGCTTTGTTCTTTCCCTGGGCCTTACAGCTTTAAGAAACAAAGAAAAAAAGTCCCTAAAACAATTGGTCTCTTGTGGATGTATTTCACAAGTGTGACTTACCTGTAGCTGCTTTACAAGAAAGACAGCAGAAGAACTTAATGTGATCATAAAGAGAGAGGAGAAAAAAAAAATCACAAAAACATTAAGGAAAAACTGAGTTGTGTATCTACAGGTTTTACCCCTTCAAACCCAGCCCTGCAAGATTTGACATGCTATTAACACATGATACTAAGAGGAATTATGAGTTTCTTAAACCCCTGGAAAAGAGGTGAGACTCATCCTCCTGCCACAAAAAGTGTGGAGAGAGATCTAAAATAAATGGCATTTCAGTGTCCTCCAAGGTGGCTGTAATTAAGGATTGCAGTAAGAGAGTGGTGAATCACAGGGAATGAACATCACAGTTCCCAAAGCAGAGCATGGCATCATCTTTTAAATGTTGATCAGGTACAATACCCACTAGACATTGTTCTGAAATGGAGCTTGGAAGGTGTTTGTTGTACCAGAGCAGTTGTTCTGTGAATGCTTTGTTAGCAATGGAAGTGCTGCACACTTCTTACAGAGAGAGCTTTATTTCATTTCTGTTTCCTTAGCCTAAAAAATGAAGCTGTATACATAGAAACCAAATACATTTCTCATGGACAAGAGAGTAATAAAGTAGCATTTGTGTGAAAAGAAAGATAAGATAAAGCACAGAGTGTTCCTGCAGAATCTGCCAGCAGAAGGACGTGGAAGCGAAATAGTTTGCTGACAAACTAGAAAGACAAGGTTATTGATGCCTCTGAGAAAATACTCCCACAATAAACTGAAGCCTCAAATCCCCTTGGCAGACAGATGGCAGTGGGATTGGTTGATACCTGATGGAAACACTTAGAACTGACTTTTCCCATGCCAGCCTTTTTCACCACACTTTCACAAGTGTGTATCACAAGCTTTGTTCCCAAAGAGTTGAATACACCACCTGGGTTCTGCAGAAAACATCTGCTGAAACAGTTGTAAGCAAAACTTGAATAGTCTTTATTCCAAGTTGTTTTCTTCAGGTCAGTCTGGTCTCTCACTCCAGCTGCTTTGGCAACGGCACCTGGACAAGGACATGAAGTATTACTAGGAGGAAATTTATCAGGTCAGTTTAGTCTAATACAAACCTCCAGAAACTAAAATATAACAGCTGGGAACTCCAAGGAGCTCTGGTTGGGAGCTCTCTTTTGTTTGGAATGCCCCACCTGATGTTTGCAATGCTTAAGGTCCAGGAAATCAATTTGAAGGCTTTGAGTCCCACCACAGAGAGAACAAATACTTAGCTCAGCTCAAGCAGCAAAACTCCATTTCAGAAATAAAGCTGAGGGAATTAAGGCAAAAAGGAGTTACCAAGATCAAGGGGGATGAGGTGAATGACACCCTAATGTCCCAAATCGGAGACAAGTGGATGACAGAGCCTAAAAAAGAACCAACCCAAAAAATCCCCAAACAATCCACCAAAACAAACCGCCCCAAGCCCCTAGTATGTGTGTCCATCATTTCATCTTTCCATGGGCTGTGACAGGAATTCTAATCTGGCATATTTAGGATACACCATGCATTGATCTCTCTATCTTTAACCCCACAGCTCTCATGGATAAAATCCTCCTGACCATTTTGGGGGGAATGGCTGGGGCTCAGTATTGCCCCTGGCATGTAGCAGCACCCAGGTTTCTCAACCATTGCTGTACAGAATAAGGGCTGTGCCTGGCAGAGAACAAGTGCCACTGTCCAGGATCCTGAGAGCTGGGAAGGCAGCATCTCCATGGCCATGAAGGATCAACCTGCTGCCACCAGCACGATCTGTGAGCTTCCCACAAGCAGGTCTTGTTGTCTGGGATGTGGATCCAAAATGCAAACCCTAGACTGGCCTAGAAAGGCCAGAAATGTCTTGAGGAGAGGCCTTGGCTGCAGCCGAGTTGGACTGGCCAGCAGAAACTCAGAACCCCAAACCTTGCCTACAGAACAGAATGTTCAGGGTAATCCTGGACCAGAATCTGAGGTCACTACAGAACCCGCACCTGCCCAAATATCAGGACAAATTACTCTGTCTGGAATTACTGAGGAAATAATTATTTCTTTGTAGGTATAAATGAAAGCAAAATTAGTCCCACTATATTAAAATGTCAATATTGAAAGGAAAAAAAATTACAAAGTATTACTTGACTATTTTTAACTACAAGAGATTTTCTGTCCTCTTCCTCGAGCCTTGGCAACACAAAGAGGCATCAAGCTACAAATATATCAGCCAATGATGAATCAATGAATCAATTCAATTCCCTTGAATCAATGCAAGGGAATATAACAGGTCAGGAGATCAAGAGTTTAAATCTGGTGGCCAACATTTTGAGAAGAAGCCCATGAATTTGGTACCCAAGTGAGACCATACCCAAGAGGCAGTTTGCAGTTTTGAACTGGCATTCTAAAGTCAGGATGATCTTGAGCTCACTTGAATTGACCACTGAGCCAATTTTCAGTGGCAAAGTTTTACTTGAAAACAAATTTAAAACCTCCTACAGTACCACTACTTTCTTCCCACAACCTTGTTCCATCTTCACTGCTGGTGTATCTAATTTCTTTTTTTTCCTGTTAGCACTAGAATTTTGCAATTGATCTACATAAGGACAAACAGAAGAATGAGCAGCAAAGGACCACTAAAATAATGCACTCCTTGTTACTGGGTGAAGCAGGCAGAAGCAGGGCTGCAGATTATGAGTCCAGGCTGGATTTCAGTGTGTGCCAAGTGACAGTGCTCTCTTGTATGAAGTGAGAGCTAGGGGAAAACACAGCTATTGAAGAGAGAAACATGGGGCTTATGGGGGACTAATGTGAAAAATAATACTGTTGTACTCCTGAAACAACTGTCTTATAATAGCATGGGCCTGTCTTAACTAATACACTATTAGGAGTATAGTAAGGTTTAGTTTCTGAGGGTTTGTTCACCTCCTGAGTGAATTTCCTTTCTTTTACCTTGTGGATGCAGCCAGGGATGCACAAGGCTGCAGGCTTGGTGCTTGCAGTGAGTTCCCTGTGCAAGCCATATCTCAGTGCTGCTGGAAAACAACCACCTGCAGTCTGACACTAAAGGGTGGCAATGCCATTTGCAGGTGCATTTGCCTGTTGCCCTGATTTTTAAAGGTGTTAAGTTTTCTTTTATAGTTCTTTTGGAAGTTCTAAAGTTCTCATAAAACTTCTTTAGCCTTCTGATAATATTTACATTTTTCTACTAGAGTTCTCATGCACTGTTCATATAAATAATGATTGTTTTGCATTCTTCTTTGTGGGAGGAGAGAATTAATGGACTGTTGGTTTGACCAGTGTGGTTGGAGAGGTGGTAATTCCATCCTCCAATCCACAGTCACCTTTAGAATTCTATAAATACCAGCTGTTTGAATAAAACTTTCTCTATTTTTCTCCTTTGAGCTTACCAAGCTTCTGTGTACTCATTTCATGTCCAATAGCAACATTTGCCAGCCCTGCCAGTGCCCAAAATTCCCAACCAGAGCTCAGGGCACAGCAGGTGGCTGCCATCCCCTCCCTCAGAGACACCACTCTGCACTCACCGGCTTGAGATAAGCGACGTTGCTCTGGCGGATGTCGTTGAGGAGCTGATCTCTGGGGGTTATTTCTACCAGGGGAGGGGGTCTTCTCCTGGGAACTGGTTTAAGTGTCTTGATGACATCTTTGAGGTTGGTTTTCTCAGCAGGCTCCACGTACTCTGGCACGGGGGGTTTGCGCTGAGTCTTCTTCAGCTTGACCACTTTGAAGCTGATGGGTTTCTCTCTGCACGGCTGCTCGGGTGCTGGTGGCCTCATGTTCTCCTGCCTCTTGCTCAGTGACACAGCTGCAGGGACGGGGGGTTTAGGGGCTTGTGGGGGCTCCTGCATCCTCAGCTGGGGCAGTGGTACTCCCAGCATTTCCCACATCCCGGGAGGCAACCCAAGTCCATTCTCCAGCATGGCTATCAACTCTTTCTGCTCTTTCATCTGCTGCTGCCTTTGCCCCTCTTGCCTCTTTTGCCTCTGCTTGTCCAGGTTCCTGCTGAGCAGGTTGGTCACCACCATCCTGGGCCCTGGCAGCTCGAAGTGATACCCCATTTTGAGGAGGGTGTTGTTGGCTTTCAGCAGCCTGGCAATCTCCATCTCTGCCTGGTGGCCCAGCAGGCCCCTCTGGTTGTGGAAGCGGAGCTCCGTCAGCGTCTCGTTGTACTGCAGGCAGCGCATGATGGCCACGATGCCTTTGCCAGAGATGAAATTGGAGTCAATGTTCAGGGTGGTGATGCTCCTGTTCTCCCTCAGCATGTTGGCCAGCGCGAACGCCACGTTGTCGTCGGCCCCCACGTTGGCCAAGCTGAACGTTTTTATGTTTTTGTTCTTTTTCATGGCGTTGACAAAATCTATCAGCATTTCCTTGGGGACGTTTTCTATGTTGTTCAGGTTGAGCTCCTTCACATCTGGGTTGTTTTTTCGGACTTTCTCCAAACTGTCTTCTAAATTGGTTTGATTTCCTGAGGGCCTGGCACTTAGTTTCATGAAGCTGGTATCCAGCGCTAACTTCTGGGGGATGTTCAATTTTGATATTTTCTTTTCATTTTCCTTAGGCTTTTCTTTGATATCTCCTGGTTCTGTACCTGGCTTCTGACTTATCTGGTTGATGTGACTGCTCTCATTGGTGTCATTCTCCTTTGTTTCCAATTCACTCTCATTTTCTTCTTCTTCTTCTTCCTCTTCATCATCTTCCTCTTCCTCCTCTGCTTCTTCTTTCTCATCCTCCTCCACCACTCTCTCCTCATCACTTCTATCTTTCTTTGTGTCCCCAGGTTGTGGTCTTGACTCAGACACGTGCTCATTTTGGTAATGTCTCTCTTTTCCCTCTGTTCCTGGCATCCTCCTGCCAGCCACCTCACCACTGCTGCCAGCCTCTCCTTCCATCTCCTCCGCAGCACTTCTCTGAGGAAGACAAAACCTCACAGCTGAAATAGTTGCAGAACATCTTTGTTACAATAGCTTTCTGCTCAAATAAACATGTAGCAGCTGGATTTAGATCCCTCTTTGCCTATACAGTAGAGAATAATCCTTAAAAGTCTCACTGCTGTAAATTCAGGCTGTACTAGTTTTCTTGGGAACACAGGAACAACTTGTTCCTAAAGAGGCTGCAAACCAGTTTCTTATCTTTGCCTACTAAATTAAGTCCTAACAATTAAATCCTGAACATATTTAATGATATGTTAAGATGGTCTTTGAACCCTTCTGGGGATTAAGAGTTTCTGATCCAAAGTCTCTTTCTGGATTTAGTGTAATCTTTATAATTTTTTTGACAAGAGAGAAAGTTTCCTTTGTGTGCCACAAAGCATTGGACATGAGGGTGAACCCCTGATGGTTTGCTCAGCCCAAGGAGGAGTGAAGAGGGTGCATTGTGACCACTGTGGAATCATCCAGCACAAGGGACAACAAGGCCACCTGCTCTGGCAGTCCCAGAGCATCACACCTGAGGCAGCACCTCACTGAAGATAAAATATTAGCTCACTTTGGAGTCCAGAGATAAGAAACCAGCCTCTGCATGAAGTTGCAGGGCAGTGAGGCTTCTACCATCCAAATAAATTAGTTGCAAAAAACCTGCCAATTCCAGAAACACTCCTTGCTGAGATTTTTCTTTGTCAAGAGTCTTTTTGCAAGCAGTTCCTCCACCACAGAGAAATCCTAATAAAATCAAGCTATTCCCCTGAGATTTGCACTCTTCAGGCAGGACACTGTCATGGCTTATGCTGCACCCAAAATCAGACAATATGGTCCCAGTCACTTCTGCCCTTGGGGCTGTGGTGGTGAATGGGTTTGGGTGGGGATTGCTTGACCAGCTGTGAATGCAGCAGCCAGCTCCACACCCAGGTTTCAGATTTAACCTCAGAAGTGTTTACAGAATTATTTCTTTGAGTACAAGAGTGTTGCAGGAGGAGAAAAAAAATCCCACAGGCAGCCCATGGAACCTGCCTTGGGAAGTCTGGGATGTGCCACACTGGCGTGTATTAGCAAACCACTGATATTCAAAACAAAAGTAAAATAAACCAGTTACCTCAAATTCACTTCTAGTGAACTTCACATTCAAGTATGGATGTGTTTTATCTGGCCAAGTTTCAATTCTATTAACCTATTTTAAGTGTAGCCCTCATCCTGAAAGATATCTAAGTATGACCTTAACTTTATTTCAAAGTCATGGGGATAGTCAAATAAATTTAAGCACTGTACTGAGTAGAGCTGAACTTGTTCAAGAGCTTGCAGGCTTGGTTGTTAATGTTTTATCCTGTTAAAATAGAGTGATTTTGGATTTTTCTCCAGTGCGCCATTAAATTCTGTCAATTAATAATTTAATTTGTATGATTAATATAATCTTCCATGGAAAAGCAACGTGGTGCTCTTCCATATGCAAAATCAAACTAATTAGAGTTACATCCTCCAAAAATGATCTTGTGACAGTTTCTCAGTGATTTGCTTTACTCAAATCAGAATTAGGATTTTTTTTTCCTATTAAAAAGCTTACATAAATATTTGGGAAAAGCAATTAAAAAATTACTAACCCTGACATCAGTCCAAGCTGGATTCTATCACTGATGAGGCTTTTAGGATTAATCTATATTTGTTTGTACTCTACCTTACGTAAGGGACAGAAGCAGAGGCAGGTTAAGGTATTAAAGCTACAAAACAGATCCCACTGCTGATGCATAATAAATATTTGTGATTTTTTGCTTGTTACCTCAGAGGGCAAGAGGGTGACAGGAACTCTCTCATCCTCAAGCATGCGTCTGGATGCCTTCTGCCAGTACAGGTAGTCAACCAGGGACCTGTGGTCGAAGCTCCCCGTGGGGGGTTTCTCTGTCTGATCCCTCTGTATCATCCCAGTTGGGATTTCAGGGTCTGGGGCCATGACTTCCATCTCGCTCTGCAGCTCCTTCAGCTCCTCAGGGGACAGGTTAGCCAGGATTTCATCCTCATCAATGTCCTCAGGACACACGTCTTCATCGGAGTTTTGGCCAAGTTCAGACATGTTCATTCTTCCCTCCTTCCTCTTATACTTTTTAAACCTAAAGAGAAAGATAAATTTCAAAGGATTTCCTATTTTCCCCCCTCACTAGCAGTAGCTGATCTGGTTAAATCGACAAGTTCATGTTTTGGTCCTGAGCTGTGGCAGCTCCCAGGCTCAGTGTGGGACACAGCCCCTGCAGCTAAGTCTATATTAAGCTGCACTTGGCTGGATAAAGAGAATTTATGGCGATGCTCCATTTTCAGCAACCTGTCAGCTGTGCAAACCCTTCTGACATTTCAGTGCAGCTGGTGTGTCCCCCACTGAGGGAGGCAGAAGACAGACATGTTCCAGAGGATTCCCAGGACACTGCACTGCTCAGGGTGTCACCCTGGAACTGCCAGAGCAGGATGAAGGGACGTCAGTGGCACTTGTGAGATGTGCAGGTGAAATCTGGCCTCTGGGAAGAATCAGAAAGGTCTCTGTGTCCATAACATCTCCAATCTGTCTCAAAAGGACTGAAGACCCCAGCCCCTGAGCTGCTTTTGGCCAGGTCTAGGTCCTGGTTGACCGTCACAAGGGGTTTTGGTGTGAGTGCAGCCACCCTTGCTTGGTGACCTCTCCCAGCCCTCACACGCTGGTCAGGAGAAAGTTCTCCAAGGTGGAAAAAGGTGGGTAGAGCTGGTACAATATGCACCTTGTGCCTGGGGACAGAGGTCCATGCAAGGACAGGCAGCAGCCCCTTGAAGCAGCCTGAGTTCTCCCAGGGAAACATTTCTCATGGCACATCCCTGCTCCCACCCAGGGGCAATGCCATGCCTGCTTCTTGACTGGCCTGGCCCTGTCATGAACATCATTTGCAACATCAACTCTTTTTGGCTGGCAGTTCATCTCAGGCTCGTCCTTCTCCTACTTTTTACCATTTTTTTTTCAGAGTTAATAAGCAACTACAAAGATTCACTTTGTTATATTTGTAGACCAGATGTAACTCCCCAAACTCATTTTTTGTTAGGTTTCCATTTCATCCAAGTGCTTCCTTCTTTCTTCAGAATATTTTATAGGCTGCTAAATTCACACAGCAAACCTCCAACCTCACCATGTGCATGGTTTCTCTGTAATAGTAAAGTAGCAAGGGTGGCTGATTTTGCTACTCACAGTTTGGGCCGTTCATTGGATTAGGAAGATTTCCTCTCATAATTTCAAATTTTCTTTGCAGGGGTATCAAATCAAATCCACACCTTGCAAATGCAGCTTCCACAGGAACAAAACCATGGGGGAGAGGCTAAGAAACCATGCCCTGCCAGTTTTTAAACCATATTTCTCATCACAGTCTCAGCCATGCTCTCTGCTGGAGTCTGCCAGCAGCAAAATAGGCTCTGCATGATGATGGTGTCTCTTTGCTGTGTTTTGCAACATGAACCATGGAGTTCTAAGCCCTGTTAACCTCTATTAAAAGTCCATTATCCAAAGGTCCTCATTTGAGAAATGCTGTTACACAGCAGGGGAGAGAGCAAAAACTTAAGAACAGAATAAGTGGCAAAGGAAAAGATAATAAAAGCCCAAGCCAAGAATTCAATGGCTCCATTTGCCCCTTTGGTATTTCAGGGATGTCCTTATCCTTGTTTTATATTATGCAGTAGCAAGCACAACAACAGACCCACACATCAATCTATCTGCTCCAGCAGCTCTGACCCCCAGTGATTGCTGCCCATAATGGAACCCATAAATGGGTTCCTGATGTTCTCAAATAAATCAATGCTCTTCAGTAGCTGGAATGCCACTCTCCCAAACGATGCAGTTTGGGCCACAGAAGCTGTCTATTCAGTGCTTGCTTCTCACTTGCTAATTTCTTGCCTGTAAATAAAGCCCCATGCCACCTTCTTGGGTTTCCAGGATCTTCAGCCAGGCCATCTTGGGCCATGGTCTTGTCAGATCATCTCAGTTAAGCAGGGTCAAACCTATGAAGTCCTCTTGAGAAGGAAAACAGGGGTACTGAGAACACTATCAGGTGTTTGAAAACCACTTTTTCTCTTAAGCAGAGACATATCACTTGTCAATACCATGATTAGGAAACTCTATACTGGAATGATGCCTTCCCCATCAGCTGCAGAGCAAGGGGCTTCCTGGTGACACCTCTCCTGGTGACATGGGTGCTAATCCCACAGATTTCCAAGGTGGGTATCATATTTTGCCTACTTTAGGTCTCTCCTCCATAAATTATGTTTCCAGGGTGTACTTCCTTTCCTAACACACTGCTTAGTGGTGTTCTGGTAACAGCACATTAGAGCAACAAACAACACTCTTGAGGTGAGGACACGTTCATGGTTGGTCTAAAACACTTTTCCAAGTCTAAACTCCCATCTTCTTCCCAAAAACATTTGTTGGTGTTCCCCTCAGAGCTTTCCAAAATAATCACACATTCCTCAATGTTCATTAAGACAGGAAAGCCACCTCCACTGGTGACACTTGCTATTTCCACACCAATTTGACACTCGTTCAGGAATCCCCGGGCTCACAAGCTGCTGCACTGGTACAGGAGGGCAGAGCTGTGCTGTGCCAGAGCTGCACTCAAAGCCTCAGCAGAAGACAAGAGGCACCTGCAACAATCACAGAGCAATTCCTACAGCTCAAAACTCACACTAAGCAGGCACCCAACAAGCATTAAGCAAAAACACTTCAGGAGCACACTGACAGAAGGAGAGGTCTGCCCTTGGTAATGAACCATCCTGACTCACCTTTGTAAGGCAGGTGCTCATGTATGGATGAACTCTGGAATGAATCCTGCAGCTTCTCCTGCAGGATTGCTTCACCTCATTGATTTTTTATTCTCATTTAAATGCTCTGTTCAAAAATTCCAGCCCAGCCCTCTTGAAAGCCAAAAGGTTGACAAGTTCTTAGCTTGAATATCAGGAAGGCCTGACTGCTGTGTCACTATTTGACAGGCAGCCCATGTTTTGAGTGCCTAAAACTGTTCTATTTTTAAGATAATTGATGGGACACATGCTGTGGTCAAATATTGGAGAGCAATTTCTATAATGTTGGGTTTTTTTTTTTGCTTATAAATCCCCCCACATTAATTCCCCTCTATTACCAATCCATGGCATTTCCAAGTGCAACTGGAGCAAGTCAGGGAATGTGCCCATGTAACATAACCTTGCATTACTTTTAAGAAACTCGTAGGCTGATGGGAGAGTCTAAAATTGACAATCAGTAGCACACACCAAGCATGTCCAGCAATGCAATGTAACCCAATACAGGGATTATAAAGGATCAGATGATGGCATCTTAACAATAACAACCACTGAGGAATGGGAGCAGTCATAGAGAGACACCCTGTGGGAAAAACACCAAGGGGAAAAAAAATCATCCACCACTTCTCCAAACTCTTCCAGATATAAATATATCAGATTAAGTTTGCTGCTTAAATAGAGTAAGGACATCTGACTTTAGAAGTATTTGCCCAAGACAGGGAGCTGCAAAGTCAAACCCTGTGAGAAGCAGCAGGCACAGCAGGCTGGGTCAGGGCAGGAGGGAGCAGCAGGGATGGGGTATGAGCCCCCCACTGCTGCCCCAGCTCAGCCAACCACCACATGTCACTGTGCTGAGATCTCTCATCATCTCCCATGATCTCTCCCATCATCACTGGGTTGATGTCTTGTAATTTCCTCTGCCTCTAGGGAAACAAGCAGAGCTGCATCTCGTGTTTCAGTGGGACCTGGATGCTTCTAATTTGCTCCCCCCAAAAAGAACTTGGTGATTTTTTTTTGTTTGTTTGTTTCCATTTTTAGAGAAATCTGAGAGCAGCTACAGTACCTGTGCAGTAGGAAACAACCTCTGTCATCATGCACCTTCTTGATTACAGGGAAAAGAAAACATTAACAAGTGTAGGGAGAAAAAGGGAGCATGGAGAAGACTTTGGTTATGACAGAAATCAAGGACAGAACATTTCAGCCTGGGGCAGGGCACTGACCACCCACAGTGGCCTGTCCAAAGCAATCCTGTAGGGAAATGCATTGGCAAGTCAGATGCATATTCCTTGGTTTGTATCAAAAAGGGTTAAATAATCAGCAAATGGATTTTTAAATAATTTCAATTGTTTAAACCATTAAAAAATATCAAAAGCTCCATGATTTTGGGGTAGGAGACAGCCCCACATATGAGCATTGAGATTTTGCTGGTGGGGGTCTGGAGATGACACAAAAGCCAACTGAGCTGATCCTGGCAGTCTGGGCTGACCCAGGACAAACCTTTGCCCCATTCAGAGCCAAAAGCTGTTCCAAATCTGACCCCCAAAGACTGACTTTCTGGGCTTGCTTGCCACTGAACAGCACTACACCTCCCCTGCCATCTCCCAGATCTTTTTTTTACTGACCACATTCTAAAGTGGCTGGAGCAGCACCCCCAACACAGCCAGGGGGGCTGCTCTGCACCGTGTTCTGTTACCCAGAGCAGTTCTGTGGCTGCAGGAGGGAATTTCTGCTCCCAGATATCATTTCTAGCACAAACATGAGCAAAATGCTGAAACACTCAGCACTGGTTTCTGCTAACTTGGTATTTTCCTTTCCCAGCTTGTTATTTATGCGACCTTGGAGAAGCATTTGTAAATACCTGAATGTTTTCATCCCTGGGTGGTGGTTTGTTACCTCTTCTTCCCAAAGCACAGTGCTAACAGCTGCCCAAAGGAGCAGAAAACCAGCCCTGTGGTGAATAAAAACAGGTCTGTGAGAGACCATGAGTGATTTTGAATGTGTTTGGAGAATTGTTTACCTGGGATGATTGCTTGGTTGGATTCTGGTGAGGATTGTTTGAGGCTGATGACCAATCCAACCCACCTGGGGCTGGGCTCTCATAGAGGGTCACAAGTTGTGTTAGAGATAGAGTCAGAAAAAATAGTATGTAGTCTTAGTATCCTCCTTGTATATAGTATATTAATGTATTTTAGCATATTTATAATAAAAACATAATTCAGCCTTCTGAATTGAGTCAGACATCATCATTTCTTCCCACTAGATTCATCTGCATTTACAATACTGTACCTCACACTGCCCATGGGCATTACACAGGGCATTTACCCAAATGTTTACCACTATTAACAGAGAGCTTGTTATTCCAAATCCGTGTGCCAAACAGGCTCAGAGACTCAATACTTGCATCAGAAACGCAAGCTCAGACCTTGAGAGAAGACATTAATCTC